TTTGAACAGGGGCCAGGTGTTCCATTTCTCCTTTATGACTTCTGCTACAGTGATGAAAACAAGCCTTTGTTTGTGACTCTCAGCATGACTATGTGTTTGGGATGAGCATGGTCTTGACTGTCATCCTTGAGAATATCCTATCTTTAGCCTCCTATTACCACCAATGTTCTCCAAGAAGGGTGTCTGGATATTTCAAATCCCCCAATACTGTAGACTAACTTAAGCTGCCATCCTCACCTCTATTCCCTTGAAGATCACCAATCCTATCCTTTTGGCTGACTCCCATTATCTATTTTCTATCCATACTCTCTTTAAGCTCTGTTTTCAGTTTCATGCTGTTGACCTTTGCAAAATGAAATCCAAATTTCATTTTGAGAGCCTACAGCAGCATCTGGGCCCTGCCTACACTTCTAGTTTTATCTCACATGCTTTTCCTCCTCAGTCTCTAGTCTTCAGTCTCCCTGGCTACGCCAGCACTTCCAGCCTTTCGGGCTCTTCTTCCCTCTGCCAGGAGGCTTACTCCACCCTTTTCATACAGCCAAGTTCTTCTTGCTGCTCATAATCAGCTGAAATGACACCTGGTAAAAGAGGTCTTCCCTAATCCCTCTAAAAGGACAAGTCATGGACTCTTAATATCCTCTATCACAGCATCCACCTTATCTTCTTCATCAATGGTATTATTTGAAGTTACTGATTAGTTTATTTATTCACTTGCTCCATTTGTTTTTTCCAGGAGATGGTGAATTCCATGAGGGTAAGGAACATATCTTTCTTGTTTATCAAATAAGATCTAGCAACAGAAGCTGAATATATAGACTTATTGACTAGCCCACTCTGTATCACTTCTCCTCCCTTGGCTCTGAGGTGTTTTATTCTTCTGTTCTTCCCTTGAAATTCCTTCCCTTGAAATTCCTTCCCTTCATCTGTCTCTTTTGCCATTTCTTAAGATTTACCCTCAGCCCCCACTCTTCTCAGGAACTTGGTTCATTCATGAACAACTTCCTCTTCAGCTCTGAGAGACACATCTCTATCCCACTACTCCCTAGTGGCTGACATCCAGCTCTCAGTGTCTCCATTTTGTTGTGCTGGACATTTCTATCAGGGTGGTCAGCTTTTCCCCTAAATTACCTTTTCTCCTGACTTCCTTATTTCTCCTCATGCCGTCTCCACCTCTTGGGTCATTTAGGCCAGAAAGCTCAGCATCATTTCTAATTTCCATACTCTACCTCCATCCAATTAGATAAAGGGCAGCACAATAGCTACCTATTTACCTCTGCCACCGCTCCTGTTCAGATCCACATCACCTATCCCCCATACTATAGAAATCACCACTGAACTGATTCCCAGCAACAGCTTCTCCACATCATGATTCATCATTCTGTAACTGGATTAATCAACATGAACTCACCTTCACTGTATGACTCCAAATCTCAAAAACTTTCAGTGGCTCCCCACTGACTGCGATGAAGTCCAAACTCTTTAGCCTGACAATCAGGCCCCGGGTTCCCTTTCTCACTGGCTATTACTACCCTATCTGCAGTTTCCTTGTTCTTATTAGACAGTGTAGCTTCCCATTTCTATTTCTCATTCCCTCTCCAAATTCTCCCACCTCTAATTCTTTGCTTTTCTCATTTTCTTCATCTAAAATGCCCTCCTCCATCTTCTCCTGACAGACTATTTCAAGAGGCACTTCTAAGCCTACCTTGTCAATAACAATTATTTTTCCTGATTCTGTACAGCAAAGGTGATTACCTCCACCTCCTGACTGGCACGGCTACCTTCTATGCCACATTTCGTGTGAATACTAGTTATTTGAATACCTGTGTCTCTTTGGGACTATATTTACATTTTTGAGCATTAAAAAAAGCAATGACTTAAATATCATCACTCCTCTAATACACATGTGCATACACACACACACACACACACACAGAGGCATGTTGAGAGTCCTTAATAAGAACTGTAAACAATAACCATCCTCAAAATAGTCTATAGAGAACTTATTGTCACACAAGAAAGGATGGAACAAGTTTACATTATACGGATGTCAGAGTAATGCTGTGGCTTATTCTCTATAGAGCTTGGACTTCTAATCCTAAACTAAACTAAACCCTAAACCCTAAAAAGCCCATGTGATCATTTCTCCAACCATGATTTTACTACTAAATTCATCCTGAGATGAATTTATGGAAATAAGCCAGTCTAGATCTAGAAGAAAATACACTGTTTACCTAAGAGGTTAGACACAAAGCCTGAGTGAGCACAGCCTTCATCAGTACTGACCCAGTGAAGTTATATAGGCAGCATGACATGGAGTGTTTGCCAGAGGAAGCTGGGGACTTTCATCAGCAACAAATGTTTCTCTCACCTCTGAACTCATGTGGCACTTTTCATCATTCATCTTTAGGAAACTTAAACAGAGGACATGTCAAATAATCAGTGTTGTCCCCACTGGCTAGTGCTCACCTGATACATAATGGACGCTCAATATTTCCTTGAAGAAAGAAAGAATGAATGAACTTCTCTAACCCTTCCCACCTGGCAAAGTCCATATATCCTAATAATATAAGATACATCTTTTCTTCCCACTAGTGACATCCCACCTGCAGCCACTACTGCTCACTTGGAAGTTCTACCCAGGGACCTGGCATTATAAGGCTCTTGCTCCACATAAAAAGTTTCTCTCGACCTAAAGTTCTGTATGGGGAGTAATGAAAAAAGAAAAGAATTTAAAATCAAAGTGACCTAATGCTACGTCCCAGTTCTGTGACCTTAGATCTATGTTGTCCAAAATGGTAGTCACTGGCCACATTGACTATTTAGATCTAAATTAATTAAAATTAGATAAAATTAAAAATTTACTTCCTCAGTAGCATGAGCCACATTTAGGTGCTCAATAGCCACATGAGGTTAGTGTTTTCCATAATGGACAGAGTAAAGAGAATATTTCTTACGTTGCTAAAAGTTCTATTGGATAGAACTCCCACTGACAAGTCACTTAACTTCTTTGGAGACTCAATTTGCTTATTTTTGAGCAGCAATTTAGTGGGACTAGATGGCACCTCACACTCTTTATTCCTCTAAAAATTTTGGAAAGTCTAGATTCTAGGACTGTTTCTTTGGAAGCTCTAGAATACAGCTGGTTTAGAATGGAATGGAATGGAATGGAATGGAATGGAATGGAATGGAATGGAATGGAATGGAATAGAAAGAATAGAATAGAATAGAATAGAATAGAATAGAATAGAATAGAATAGAAAAAATGGCCTGAGAATAGGGGCAAAAGGAGTTCAACCAACAAGCTCAGGGCAAGCCTTGGGGAAAGTGGAGAAGTTGGCTTTGGTGAAGTTCCTTGCAGCTTGCACCTCTCTCAAACCTATTCTCAGCTTCAAAAATTAGATTCAGCTCTTTGGACCTGCTCTCTGCTAGGAGACAGCTGGCTAATCTGATCAACTAAATACCACTGCATTTTAGCATTGATGCCTATAGGGTCCAAAGTCACTGCTCATATGCTGCAGGGCATGAGCAAAAGGCAGATTTAGCAGAGCTCAGAGCTAGCCCTTAATCAGTTACTGCCCATCTATGTAACTTTTGATGAATCGCATGATAGGGCACAATTTACTTATGTATGACATTATGCAAGTCTATGGACTCCAAGGACATCCCCAAATCCAAGATTCCAGATTGTAGCATTAGATTTTCCAAACAAACAATAGGCCCATAGGGAAGTTGCATTTTGAAGGTAGAAGGAAAAATTTGTACTGGCTTTAGGAGAGATTAGCTAGGTTGTCCATGGAGAAATGGGGTGAGGAAAAAAGGGGTATTCTCCTTTCTGAAGCCTTAGGCTAGGTACTACAAAACAATCTGTCTTTGTTTCTGGTTGAGCTCCCTCCTGGTGATGAGTCATATGGCGGAAAAGGTGTGTTGGGTGCCTGCCTGCCATGTCTGGTTAATGCAACTCCTTATATGGTATTTGTTTTTCTGACAGATGACATGTTCCTGGACATGGAGCTTACTTTAAGGCAGTTCTTCAGGTGACACTCAGAGAATGTCTGTCTTCTTTTATTTAGTTTCACAAATAGCGTTTTCACTGGAAGTTTCCTTCTGGACATGTCCAGCTGCCAGAGCTCTTAGCACCACAAAAGTAGCTCAGATTTAGGGACCAAAGCTAGGGTCCCTTCCTCTCCCATAAACAGGCTCATGTTCTCTGAGAAGAAAGCATTATGAAGGTGGGAGTGTTTTCTATTTCATGTGTAAGGGCCAGTTATGGTGATGACCATGTTATGTTTCTTGCCACGCTGTCTCTAAGCCTTACAACTGACCTGCAAGGTAGGCATTATTACCTTACCTACTTTACAGTTGAGGGGAGTGAAGGTAAATAACTGACCTAAGGCTACTCAAGCAGACATGGCTGACCCAAGACTAGAACCAGTTCTAGCAGGCTTCATTACCCATGATCAGGCTCCCAAAATACTGGAAACCTAATAGATGAGTGTAAGGTCTAGCCATTGGAAAGTTTGAGGAAAAGCCTATCAAAGGAATATATTAATTTCTTATGGATGCTGTAACAAATTAAACAAATTTAATGACTTAACAATACCAATTTATTCCCTTAGAGTTTTAGAAGCGAGAAGTCTGAAATCAGTTTCACTGAGTTAAAGTGTGGATAGAGTCGGTTTCTTCTGGAGGTTGGAGAATGAGAATCCATTTTTCTGCCTTTTCCAGCTGCATTCCTTCTGTACCTCACTTTAACCTCCTGCTTCAGTCCACAACATCTCCTGCTTGCTCCTCTGACCTTCTTGCTGCCCTCTCATAAGTGCCGTTATGGTTACATTTAGGGGTTATTCAGATAATCTCTTCCTCGCCAGGCCCTTAATTTAATCATATCTCCAAAGTCTCTTTTGCCAGATAAGGGAACACATTCACAAGTTGTAGGGATGAAGACATGGACATCTTTGTGGGGGGCATTTATTCACTACCACAGAGAATTTTTCATTTACCTTCACAACTAGGAATAGTTGCTGGAAGTACTTTTCGGTTTTGTCCTTCAACTCTGTTCAGTCTTTTTTGTCTCCCCTTGGATGGGAAGCAAGTCAAAACAGGTCCCAGGGGTCAGAGGGGGAAGGAGAAAAGACCCTGGTATAGAGGTTGTGAGTAGATGCACTCAGGTCTCTTCTTGCTCTTGTGTACCACATTCTCCCTGGGGAGGAAGTAGCAGTAAAGTAGGAGGTCAGTATCATCAAGCAGCTGAGGGTAGATATATTATCTTTGTCCACCTGGAAAGACTTCTCACATGGAAGAGGCCCCATTTCCTCCAAACTCTCCCCTATCTCACACTCTGACCTGGAAAAAGATCTATTTGCTTTATCTACCTAGTGTCCCACTGCACTTGGACAATGTCCAGTTTCCTTCTGTGAGCTACACAAAGTCCCACAAGATGAAACTCCTGCCCACATTTCCCACCTCAATTCATTATCTATTCCCCTCCCATCCACTGTGTTCCAATTACATTGGCATGGTTGACAAACAGGAATGTTCATGATTTCAGCAGAACCAACCACTGTTTTTTCTAGTATTGCTTGATGATAGGACATGTCTGCAGTGGTTCAATTAGTCAACTTACATTAGAGTTGTGGTTTCTATAATGTATAGGCTTTCCTTGAAAACAGAAATCTTATCTTAGCAACCAGCCCCCGAACAGAATTAAAAAAATATATATTAATGTAAACTAATACCTTTAGGCCACTCAAGTAGTAGCTAGAGAATATTTGAAAGTCTTCTTCCTTCAGAAACTAATGTATATCTTGCTAAACAATTTTTGCATCATTATCCAATACAGTGTGTGGTCAGAGGGTGGATAATATTATTATCTTCACTTTATAGATGGGAAGACAATCTAAAAAAAAGAAAGTCAAACCATTTTTAAATGACAGTCCTAAGAACCCATTCTTTCTGATTCAGAGTAGACTACTTTTCCCCTCATGTGCTGGGGCTCAAAGGCTTGAAGATAAATTTATATGGTACACTATAAAGGACAAAAGCAAATAGAAAGGTCCATAAAATGATAAGCAACACAAATTGGCTGTTAATTGGATGTTACTTAAACACAACTAAAAAAATATATATCACTGTAGGGTTTGGCTTGGCTGAGAGAGGTAGAAGTCAGAGGATGAGAACTTCCCATAGAATCCCAGCCTACTTGACCTACTGTTTTCTGCCCATATGTGCCCTGCACCCTTCATCCGCTTCCTGACAGTTTACTTACTTCCTTTCCAACTCCTCACTCTGACTTTGAGGTGAGGAGGCAGCAGCTGAGGCCACTAGGAAATGGGATGGGCAGAAGGGTTCCTAAAACTGTCTTCTCTCCATGCTCTACCCAGTCCTGACAGCCTTCTAAAAGCCATTGATTAATCTTGGCCAGGTAGTCCCTGGAATGCCAAAAGCTAGCTGGCAAGAACAGAGGCTCTTCTTCCAGGGTTTTCAATGGGACAAGCCTTCCTAAAATATTTTCAGGGGTGCCTGAATGTAAATTTTAAAACCAGGACCAGTAGGCAAATGCTATGTTTTCTGTTTCTAATGCCTAGATCATATAGGAGAACATGAACTCTGCTTTCTGACCAACAGGCTCCAAGCCCTACACCATCTTAGGCAGGTCAAAACTTTCTAAGCATTATTTTTTTAAATCTGTGTAACTAGAAGAATAGTAAAGATGAGTTAAGCTAAATGTAGATTTCAGAGCAGTTTTCTCAGTAAGCTAGAGTTATAGGATTCATCATGTCCACCATCTTGAATATAGTAATGTTCACTAGATATCTGTTCAATAATTGAATAAATGATACATAAAATCAGGATAAATCATGTCATCAACATTGCACACATGAACTCAAGTCCTGGCATTCTATTCTTCCTTCTCAGGAATAACTTTAATTTTCAGGACCCAGGTAAATGCTCACTGTGGGGATGATGTGTATTAGCAGTCAGACTCACTAACCTTGCAGGAGGATCCAGCAGCCCTTTTTCTAACCAGGCTACAATCATTAATAGATATCAACCAGTATGTAAAAAAATAGTTTTGAATAAAAGAATACCAGTAGTAAAAATATTACTTCACTAAAACTTTGTTTTCAGGGTGCCCGGGGGGCTCAGTCAGTTAAGCATCTGCCTTTTAGCTCAGGTCATGATCCTGGCATCCTGGGATCAAGCCCCACATCAGGCTCCCTGTCTCATGGGGAGTCTGCTTCTCCCTCTCCCTCTGCCCCTCCACCTTGCTCATGTGCTCGCTCTCTCAAATAAATAAAATCTTTTTTAAAATTCTCTTTCATTTTAATTTTTTTATATATATATTCACATACGTATGTGAGTATAGCATACTGAATTTAATGCTATATAGTTCCTACTGTGGATTGTAATCCAAAAACTTTAAGAGACACTATTTTTGAATGGGCACAGCTTTTTCCCAATTTTCAAAGAGCAATAGTTACTAATGATTGTCTATTTTCCTGACTTTTTGGTTGTGTACTTTGACAAGAGGAAACAGCAACAGTGAGTGTGAATATAAGAACTCAGGGTTTGGGGAAGATTCATGTGCTCAAGCTGCCTTACCTAGGTTAGTAACCACATCCCTTCTTTAGGGAGCAGTGTTAATGGTACATTTAAACTAGTAGAACCACTGAGTGACTGATGCTTAGGCAATTAATGTCAGTGGGGATATGGTCAATGAATGCTTACTGGCACTGCCACTGTCCATGTGTATGGCATAGGTTGGACTTCAGAGAAAGATCACAGAACACAATGTTCTCTTACATTCCTTGTCTGGCAAACTACATCTCCAATTCAGCTCCTGACATTTCCTGAGCTGTGTAGGTGTGCTTACTATGCACAAGGAAAGGCTCAAAGCAGCAAGAAAAAAACCTGTGGTGGAGCTAGAAAGCAGGCAAGCATTGGGTGATTACCTATCCTTTGCAGGAAATTAATGACCTTTCCTGGTAATGCCCATAATTATTCCATGCAGTACCCTATTTCACAGATAAGTATTTGTGCTGGTTTGCATTAGATAGACCTAAGATTATAATAATAACACCCATCTTTCTGGGATTATAAAGAAGGCTAATTAAGTTAATATGAAGTTCAAGGTAGTTTGATGATGACAAAAGATGAGCAGCTTTCTTAGGGTAAAGCAGTAGGGCTCAGGAGAAAGAGCAATGGCCCAGGAGTCAGAAGGCCTACCATGAAATCCCACTAACCAAATTGTCTCTATGACATACCATAACCTCTCTGAGTTTCAGTGTCCTCATCTGTGAAATGAAAGAATTAGTACAGGTCATGGGCCAAAGCTAGGAGAGGGTGCATTATTTAAATCAAATTAAGGGGGCACCTGGGTAGCTCAGTTGGTTGGGCCTCTGACTCTCAATCTGAGCTCAGGTCATGATCACAGGGTGGTGGAATCAAGGGCTTCTTTGGGCTCTGCCCTCAGCAGGGAGTCTGCTTCTCTCCTCCCTGTCTGCCCTCCTCCCCCATGCACATGCTCTTTCTCTCTCAAAAATAAGTAAATATTTTAAAAATAACTAAATAAAATTAAATTAATTGTTTATTTGCTGAAAAAATTTGTATGAAGGTACAAAATTGAAAACCCATCAAAATGAGGCAACTCTGACTGAAGCAAAATGGAGTCTAACCCCACCTACATTACTTCTATGGTACACAAAATTCTAAGATGGTCCCCAAGATTCTCAGACCTAGTGTACATACACTTTCTCCTAGTTATTCAGTCAAACATGAACCTGAGTATTGTGTAAAGGAATTCTGAGAATATATTTAAGATTCCAAATCCATCAAACTCAAGGGAAATAATTTGAATGGGCCTGACCTAATGATATGAAACCTTCAAGAGTGAGTTTGTTCTGGTTGATGGCCAAAGAGGAAGATAGAGACCTGAAGCACAAGAAAGAGTCAACACATCATGGATGGCTTGAAGACAGGGAGGTCGTATGACAAGGAATACTGGTAGCCTCTATGAGCTGAGATCAGCCCCCCTGATAGTCAGCAAGGAAATGGGAGCTCAGTCCTAAGACTGTAAACAGAGTGAATTTGAAAATGGACTTTTTTCCAGAGCCCCCAGGGATCTCAGCCCAGTCAACACACTCATTTAGCCTGTGACACCCTAAACAGAGAACTCACTCATGCCATGCCAGACTTCTGACCTACAGAACCTTGAGCTACTAAAATGGACATTGTTTTAAGCTGCTAAATATATGGTAATTTGTCACATGACAACAGAATTCTAATACACTCCCCTCATCCTATGGTGGTTGACAAAGGCCTTCATAGAAGGCCATCTACTTAGGAGCCCTTTGGAGACCTCTGAACTGGATTGTCCCTACCATCTCTCCTAGCTCCAAGTTCCTATAATTCCCCCATACTACTGCATTCTGAGAGCATCTTTACAGAAATCATATTTGAAGCTGTGAGCTATAGGAAATCTTCACATTTTTTGGTTTAGTGATTAGGAACCATTGGAAAGAAGAGTGAATTGCTAAGCAGTAACTAACTGCATAAACATAGAGCAGGGAAATAAACATTTTTCAGGATTTGTATAGCTGATGATAATGAAAACATTGGTTTTCCATAGAAGCAACTTACATATTACACCTGGGTAGGCAGCTGACTACAGGAGTAAATTTACCTTCTACCTAAATCTGTAATCTGAAAGTGCCAGAGGAGTTTATCCTTTGTTATCCTGGTCATCTCATGAAGGTATTACATTGAGAGAGAGGAGTTGGCCCAACTAGGCCACTCACACACAGCAAGAATAAGAAGAACTTGGCCTAGGAAGCTGGTGGAGTCCATCTGTATCCGTTGGGTTGTTCCCTTTGAATGTTTTCTGATGCAAAGGAGGAAATTCATGAGTGACTTTAAATCTCACCAGTGTTCCAATGAAAACAGGAATATTGCCTGTGGAAACACTTCCTGACTTGGAAAAATAGTTATGACCTCTAAGACCCTAGTTATCCTCATCACGTCTGAATACTCCTTTTGGTGGAACTCCCCTTTATCAATATGGAGAGACAGCATAATAGTAAGGGACAGAAACTTGGGTTTCAGTCTTAGCTCTGCATTTAACTAGCTGCATGTCTTAGATAAGTTACATGTTTTTGAGCTTCAGTTTCCTCATCCACAAGGAATGAAGAAGAGTGCCTAAGTAACAGCATTTAATTTATACAGTTCTATTGAAAATTACACAATATAACATACACAAAGGATCTCATACAGTAATCAATAAATATCAATATGGTAGGAGTAGTTATATTTTTATTATAATTCTTCCTTGAACACTTTCCATATGCAAGCTCTACTGGAATCACTTCTTCCTTTTTGGGAAAAATTATCATCCTGCCCCTGGCCTTGTACTCATTCCTGCAGAATTTATAGAATGCCTATAATATAGCTAGGACTCTCCTAATAGCCAACATCAATGACCTATAAGAAATAATCATTATTCTCTAGCAATAATTTCCGGTATGTTAAGAACTGAAAGGTTCTGTTGTAGCACTAAAGTTGAGAAGTTTCTGTAGGTAAAGAGAGACTGCTTTAGAAAGCCTTGACCATTACAGTTGAGTGACAAGAACTTAGCAGTTAAAATAGCTAACAGAAAGCCACTTATATTGTTTAAGAAATAGAGCATGGTAGGTGGAGAGTGTTCTTTGATGACTAATCTCAGGACTCTGCAGCAGCATGCTAGGTGCTCTACTGGGAAGAGTGAAGGCAAGGAGGCAGGGGGAGGTTGCTCTCAAATGCCTTCCAACAAAGGTGAAGGCCTTTTCTACGGCAGAGCTTCTCAAACTGCAATGTGCACTAAAACCCCCTGGGAATTTTGTAAAAATGAATATCTTGATTGAA